AAAAAAAAAAAAAAAAGCGCTCTCTGTCAAGGTTTTGCTCCAATTGCCTGTGCGCCGTTGCATAACCAGATCGGGAGCTCCTGTCTGTGCCCGGCGAGGCCGTGAGCCTGCCCCGGGCAGCGCGGTGCCGTGCCCCGCTCCGGCCCGGTTCCCGCTGCCAGCACCGCCGGGACAGCGGGCACGGACAGGGCGCAGGACCCCCCTCGGCGCGGAGGCCGAGCTGGGAGCGTGTCCCGAGCCCGCCGGGCGGAGCCGCGCAGGGTCCCGCCGATCGCCCCGGCAGCCAGGGCCGGGCACCGGGCGCAGTCCGGCCAGCGGGGCCGGCGGTGCCGCCGGGGGCTCCCGGGGTCAGGCTACCGAGGCGTCCGCCGGTGCGCAGCGGGGATATCGCTACAGACATATGTAAACGTGGGCACGCCGGGGTTCGCTCGCGGCGGCGGTGTGAAACCATCCTTGATGCGGGGCTGGCTCTTTGGTTGAGGATTTTTTTTCCCCTGCTTCCCCTTTCGTTCTCTTTCCAGCTTCTCCTTTTCTTGGATCCTCGCCTGTCTCCTCCCACAGAACGAGAGAGAGAGAGAGAAAAAAAAAAAGGTCACGTATGTTTGGAAAAATATGTAGGTCAGTGGAACATTCCCTGCACTTGTGCACAGGAGCTGGGGCGGGAGAGCTCCTCCGCAGCCCTCTCGCTACCCACCGCCCCAGCCCGGCCCTCCCGGCGCCCACCGCGGGTAGGGGGGCGCCTAGCGCCGGGGTCCCTTTCCCCCTCCCTGACCCATTTTGAGCAACAACCGCGCGTTCGGGCTCCCCCTGGCCCCCACTCCCCCCAGCTCCCCCCGCTCCCTGCCGGAGAAGGCTACGAGCGGCGGAGGAAAGCGGCACGGGAGATCCTCTGCCGCCGGCGCCGCGGCTGCGCCCATGGGCGCGGGGCGCGGGGCGCGCCCCCGCAGCGCCGCCCGCTGAGGGCGCGGGGCGGCGGCCCCGCGGCGGGGGCAGGCGAGGGGAGGCGGCGGCGGGCGGCGATGAAGGGCCGGCGGAGAGGATGCCCCCGCCTCGCCCGCCGGGCTCCAACTTCGCGGAGAACTATCGGCCCCGTAGCCCCCGCGCCCGCCCTGCCTCTCCAGGCCGCGCGTCCAACTTAATGCCCCAGCAGGAGCCCCAGCCAGCAGCCCCCCCGGCCTCCGGCCTCCGCACTCCCCCGCAGCAGCCCGGGCTCCCGGCGGCCTCCCGGTGCCGGCGGAGCCCCCGGCCCCGGCGCGCGTGGGTCCCGCGGCGCCCGGGGCGGCGGCAGAGCGGCATGCGGCGGCCCCGCGCACCATGAGACAGGGCACCGGCACCGGCGGCAGGCAGGAGGCGGGCAGCGTCCCCGGCTCCTCGTCGGCGAGGAAGAGTTTGCCGGCTCCCGAGGCCGGCCTCCTGCGCGGCTGGAGCAGCGGCGGCCGCTGCCGCAACGGCACCGGGAGGCACCGGAAAAGCGGCGGCATCCAGCTCGGCGGCACCAGCACCGGCGGCGGTTCCCGCGCCCAGGTGGCCACCGCGGACAGCAGCAGCAGCGGCGGCGGCGGCGGCTGGGGCTTCCCCGCCGCGCTCCCGCAGCACCGGCACCCCAGGTAACGCGCGGCCGTGCGGCCCCGACCCCTGCCTCCGTCCCGGGGGGCGCCCACTCGCGACACCCGCCCGGGGGGCGCCCGCCGGGGGCACCCACGCGGGATGGTCGGCCAGCGTGACCCCCGCGGCGGCGGCCGGGGTCAGCTCCGCGGTGCCCCCCGCTCTGTGGGGGTCACGGACGCGCCCGGTGGTGCGGGGTGGCATGGCTCTGCCGCGGGAAAGTTTCCGTGGGGAGCACGCTTATGTGCGGCGTGTCTGTCCCGGCCGGGCTGGCGAGGTCCGGCCGGGCGAGCCCCTCCGTTTGGAAAATAAGTTGCCCCCTAAGCAGTCCTCCTCGCCATCTCGTTTTGGTGTGGTTGGACATTTCCTGACTTTGGGGGTTCCTATAAGCCAGACAGCAACAGGGTCTGCGATGCGACCGGGCGGGTGTTTGCTCAAGGAAAACTTCCAGTAGGAGCAGTGGGGATTTGGAATGGGTGAAAGCTCCTGGGGGGAGCAGAGGTTGTGCCGTGCGCTGGGAGAGCCCTGCTGCTGCAGCAGCCCTGCGCAGAACTCCCTTCCCGCGTGTTTGCATCCGTGTGTGGCACGGGGTAAACCTTAAATACACGGCTGAACGGCACCACCGGATTCACACGGGGTTGTGCCGTGGTGTTTTCCTCTGTGGTCACTACCTTGATTTGTCAATTAACAAGCACGCTCATCCAGAAACTTTGCTCCCTACTCCTTAGCTGTCTACAGGATGGCAGCTTACTTTCACTCAAGTGACTCAGAAATAATTAGCGGTTATAAGCGTTACAGCCAGCAGAGGAACTTGGATTTTTTCATGGCGCTAAACCTCCAGAAGGGCTGTAGGGATCTCTCGGATGGGCGCAGGCAACCTGAGCATTCAGTTCAACAAGTGGTTGCCTCTTGAAGTGGAAAATTATCTAATTTATCCCAGTGTGAGATGTTAATGCACTAAACTGTGGGTTTAATTTGTTTGGTGGTACTAAATAATTAGAGTTCACAGTGTCCAGACATAGCCAGCTCATCCACTGATGCACATCTGATTCTGAGAGCTGGTGGAGGGCCCAATACTGCATACATTTCAGTAGATGAATAAGAACACAGGGTTGCTCTGCAGAGATGCCCAGGAGTATTTGGAGAATGTGATTACCAAACTGCACATTCACTGAAGATGTGAAAATGAAGGTTTTCTAGAACTAGGTATGTGACATCAGGGTGATTCCTCAAGCTGGCAGCACTTGTGTGCTCCATAGCCTGGGTCTTCAGTGAGCTTTCCTAAATTAGTTCTCCTTCATAAATAAAGGTGCCTTCCTGCACATTAGCAAGGTTGAATCCACAGAATTATGATTTTTTTTTTCCCAAATCTCTACACTGAAGCATGCAAGAGCCCTTGAAGGAGTTGTTTCTTTTTTCATAGGCAGCAATGTTGTCTACAGTTAAAATTAGCTAGTGCTTTCTAGTACAATGATCTGCTGTCAGGTGGTTATGCATTTCCTAAGCTTGAGCTTAGGCTGGTATTTTCCAGGATGAGTGCCTTCTGAAGGCAGACTGTCTTTGGGAAGTTTCAAATTAAATGGTTTGGTTATTTCTGAGAACGTGGTAAGACAAAAACTTGTTCTTTGACCACGTATTTGATGAAAATGGTTTAGGTATACATCCTGCATTAGGAGACCTTGATCTGGGAATCTGAATTTCTTTCACTGTGCTAAGAAACACTTTCCTTCAGATTTAAATTCTTGTGGCATCATGTTTTGGATCAAGGAAAAGATATTTTGCTTGGGATCATCTTGTGATGGGGGTGCGCATTTTGTTGATCCTCTGAGAATCTTCCAGAATTTCTTTCCAGTATAATTTTATCACAATGCTCCAGGCATGTGCTCTTGGGAGAGGACTTGTTGAGGGCTTGACTGTTGCACTTGCTTGAAGATGTTCTCAGCACAAGGCATGCTGAACATCCCAGCACTGTTAGGAGCTGAGCAACTGCTCCTCTTCCTGGGAAGGATGAGAGCATTCCAGTTGGTGGCTGATGGGCTGAATGGACTTTTCCCCCAGTTACTCTTCCAAGGTGTTGCTTCTACAGTGAGTTCAGGAAGGAGAATAGAAGACTTTCTCAACTGTGCCTTCAGTGGCAGGGTGTGCCTGGTGATGCAGTGGAAGAGTGAAGCAGGAGACTGTTTAATTCACTTGAATGGTGACAAGAAATTGTGGTACTAGAACTGTCCCACTTTTGAGAAGTACTGGTGATGGATACATGGAGAAACTGAAGACAAGAGAATAGAGACAAAGGATTTGTGGGGTCATGGATGACAAATCTTGGGAACAAGGTGCAGGGAACTGTAGATACAGGTGGTAAACCCACGCCAAGAGAAGGAATGGTGGAAAGGAGGAACTTGACACTTGTGTACAGGGACAGGAGACCTGAACATCCGGAAACACAGTGGTTTCCATTCTTTCAATAACCAGGACATGGTACTACTGCTTTTTCATCATTTTCCTCCCCACACTGCCTGCTCTGTGTTTCAGCCCCTGCCTCTGCTTATTTGTCTCTTCCCTGGATTGGTAAATGTCACACAGTTAAAAATAACAGCCAAATACACATTTTATGTGCATTTAATTGCTTTTCTTTCTGTGTTAGATGAACTTAGGTAACTTCCATTTGTGTTTTTAGTTTTGTGTCTAGGCTCTTAAGGGAGATGCACTTGAATTGCAGATTTTGCAGAAGGATCATTATCTGTATAAAAAGATAATTTTCCTGGATTTGGCTTAACTGTATGTTGGTCCTTGCTCTTAATAAGACTTCTTGAAAAGGTAGGCTGAGGCCATGTAAATATTTGTATTATTTTAGCTAATTTAATTCAGTGGGTAATCTGCATCAGCTGATAGACTGATTTTATGAGTCTGACTGCTGAAGTTTGAAAAGGAAACACCATGTAATAGCATTTAAGCAGAATGCGTAGATGGTGGTAGATTTATTTATGCAGTGCTGCTTTTGCTATTGCTGTTTTTTGGGAGGGTCTAAAGCTATTGTGACATGCTATGGGACATAGAATATCTACATATACATACATACATTATATATATGTGTGTGTGTGTGTGTGTGTGTGTGTGTGTGTGTGTGTGTGTGTGTAAAACAGTATATTGCCAGCTGAATTCAAAAATACAAGAGCTGCAAGGCAGAAAAGGCAAGGAGGTGACAAGAGATGTGGGTCATGTAGGCTCATGCTCTGAATAAGGAGCTGAGAAGCTGCAGATGTGGTTCATTCTCTGCTCCTTGCATTTATCTTGTGGTGGCCCAGGGATGTTGGCAGATTAGATTGAGGAATTTAGGGGAATGGCTTTCTTGGCCTCATCCATATAAATTCAACATACATTTTGGGGACAGAGGGATAAATACTGGTTTTATGCTTCTCTTCCTGTGTCTCTTCCCGCTGAAGGCAAACCATGAGGCACAACTCAGTCCCACAAAAATGTTGGTTTTAATTACTTTGATAAAGATTTTGGTGAAGACACTTCTGTTGTTTTATCCAAGGACCATGGCAGAAATCAGTGTTTATTGCAGGCTGCCTCCCATGTTTGGGAAGAATAATCTTATGCATCCCCAGTACTATTTTTAATTCTGCTCTGGTCTGAAAATCCACCTGTCACTTCAGTAAAATAAAGCTCTCACAAAACTTAGGTCACTGGTGAGCTTGGACATTTGTTACTAGGAAATAGTATTGCCATACTATTATGCCAGTATTACAGTACCCCATCTGCCTGCTGTTTCTTGTCCTCTCCTTTAGCTGCAAGCACTTTGAGGCAATGCCACCTTTTTCTCCTGTGTCTTTGTGGCAGGTAGCATGCCTTGAGCATCAAGATACTCCAAAAATGACCATGTAAATTGTGGGAACAGGGTGATTATCTGACCTTCTCCTGCTTGGGCACAAGTCTGTGTAAAACAGCTGGGCTTCTGCTAGCCTGATTATGACAGAAGGTATTTTTCATCTGTTTTACTACTATTCTTAGGGGTCTGCATAAAATATAATATTTCTAGCCAAGTGGAATGATGATACAGGAAAAAATTTTAGAGGACATGTATGTATGTTTGAGATCAGAACTCAAATTTGGAAATTTGGAAGTTCAGGTATGAAACCTCTAATTTCAAAATGTACAGGCAGTGCTGGCATGACAGTGTCATCTACTGGGACATTTCAATCACCCTTTCTCCTTGAGTATATTCAAGTGATATAAATGTAATATGCATGTCAGTTTGAAAATAAATAGAAGAAAATATATCTATAATCATATAAATTAATGGCTACAGGTCACCAAAGGTGCCAAAGCTTAGACAAAATCTTCCATGGACACCTCAGGGGGAAAAAAAAAAAAATCAGTGCAATGTGCAGGTGTGAGTTAAAAACCAAAGGGAAATAGAACATTAAGATTATTTTTAAAAGGATGGAAAATAATAAAAAAGAATAATCTTTATTTCACTGTAGCATCTGTAATGTGCTATATCTTCAGTGTCCTGTGCTGTTGATTCCCCCATATCAGAGATGGATAATGGCAAGAGAGAAAGTTTGGAGGGATGTAGCAAAGGTGATCAGAGAAACAGTGTGAGGACTGACAATGCTGATAAAGTGATGGAACAAACATCTGTAAAATTAAGCAAAGCATGGAGAAGGCAAACCAGGAATGACTGATCACAGCCATAGCAGCAGAGGGCACTGGGCAGGCAGTTGCAGGAATGGAAACAAAAGGAGATTGCTCTTCACATAGCATGGTCAGACTGCTGAGCTCCTCACCACAGGATGTGGATGCTGAGAGGTTACATCAGCTAATGAGGTGACTGGATGAGTTCATGGAAGAGAAATCCATCAAGAGCTATTAAACTTAAAACCACTGCCTCTGGCATAGGAAGTTTTGAGCTGCATAATTTGGAAGCTTGGTGAGTATCCTGAAGAAATGCCACCACTGTTTTGACTTGTTCTTATACTTGCTCCTCAGCACCTGTGTC